CCAAAACCCCAAAACCCCAAAACCCCAAAACCCCAAAACCCCAAAACCCCGATAGTGAGTGCATAACTGAATATATTTTATTTAAGAGCGAATAACTCTAGCTTCCCTATTTCTTCTTTGGTCTCATCTCATTTTGCTTGTCCAGTTCTTTAGCTCTCTTGAACTCCATAATAGCATCTTTGATCGCAGGTCTTCCTTCAAGAAGGAGACCTCTTGGAATTTTACCATCAGGAACCATTCCTTTAAGTTTGAGGATTAGCTCTGACTCTTCTCTAAAGTTATGAGAATTCAATATTTACGTAAGTGTTTTGTACATTTTTTGAACTCTTGCAAAAGCTTTGACTTTTCCTTTAATTTTCTCTGCTCTTTCTTTTACTAAATAATGATTCATTCTGTGAAGAGTTGGAGCTTACAGTCAGTCGCGCTTTTGAAGTCTTCACCATCTGATGGTTCATCTTCCTGCCATTTTGTGTACACTGATTTCATCATTTGAACGACCTTCTCGATCAAAAATGGCATTGACCATGTGAAAATATCAATTCTATCAGGAAGATGGTATGGATGCTCACTATCATCAAACTGCTTTATGGAAACATTCCCGTCTTCTAATATAAGCACAGATCCTTTATTACTGTAGTAGTCTCAATAGTTTGGAGCGGAAAAAATAGTGATAACATAAGGAAAACTGCTAGGGCCATCCCATCGATGCATTTTATACCCATCAACCTGAACTTGATGAGCTCTGACAATTGTCATGAGGTTATTATCATCAATTAACTTTTTGGCTGGCTTTCTTCCAAAATAGAATGAACAATCTCTCTCCTTATTCTCAATAAAATCGTATTTCTTTGCCTCTTTTTCATCTATGGGATCTGCCCACATCAGATCTCACATAATTCCGTCCATTGGAATTTCAAGGAACCTGTCAATTTTATTGATTTTTGAGATTTTCTTGAGTTCAGGAGAAATTCCACCATGAGTAATGAAATATTTCTTATCGGCTAGCCCACAAATAGGGAGAGCATCAAACATCTCCATGATAAGATCGTACACTTCTTCATCATATTTCTCAATGACTTCTTGTCTGAAGGTGAAGTGATCTGTCATATTTCTACACTCGTGGTTTCCCCTTAGCATGGCAAAAGAATCTGGAAAATTTAGCTGTAAAATTAATTTGCAAAGTTACTTTCATGGAAATCATGAAAATGATTACTTCGACACCAAAGATTCCTCTATCAACATAATCTCCCATGAAAACATAACTAAATTATTAATTTTGAGAGATACTTTGTTTTGCTGGGATCGCCTGCTTTTTCAATCAAGTGGATAAGGTCATAGAGCTGTCCATGAATATCACCCACCATTACTAGAGGCTCCGGAAATTGTATAAGGTTTGGCTCCTCCTCTAAAATATTACCTTCAAACTCTTACTGAATATATCAGTCGCATCATGAAGCATTTTGACAAAATGTTCTTTGGAGATTGTTCCTTCGGCTGCTAAGTGATCTCTAACCGCTATCCAGTCTGGAGTTTTGGAATCTGATAAGAGAAATTAGTTTCTGATAAACTGTAGTGTAATGGCTCAATCTAGGATATTTCTCCTCTAATATTGCCGAAACCTTACACAGAATTAATCAAATACTTTTCAAAGTGCTTACCTGAAGATGGATAGAGAATGCCTTCATCGAGAGGCAAGACAGGAGGTGGAGGAATTTCATTTACAACTCTATCTCCAAATGGATCTGCAAGTCCTTCCATATTTTATTTTATTAATGTTGTCAATATTCAAATATTCTTACGGGGTTTTGGGGTTTTGGGGTTTTGGGGTTTTGGGGTTTTGGGG